ATGGTGGTGTGTGTGTGTGTGTGTGTGTGTGTGTGTGTGTGTGTGTGTGTGTGTGTGCGCGTGCGCGTGTGCGCACATGTTAGGAGTTGGGTTTGCTTGGAGAACTTTGTGGTCTGCCTTTATTAAAGTCCCAAATGCAGAGGCCACGTGAAGGACAGCACATCTCGCTGATGGGACCCAGGGCCTTGCTGGCTGACGTGTTACTGCTGAGCTCCATCTGCACCTTCTTTTTGAGATGGTGTCTCACCATGCTGCCCACGCCAGCCTCAAGCTTATGCTTCTCCTCCCTCGGCTTCCTGGCCAGCTGGGGTGACAACCAGTGCTCCAGCAGTGCCTTGCAGCTGTGGTCCCTGCCTCTCTCCCTCAGTCTCTGCACTCTGGGCTTCTGGTGACACCGGATGCCCTTGGCCCTACTGGCCGGAGATCTGATCGTCTAGTCTGAGGCACTGGCGGCAGGAAGGAAGGGGAGAGGGAGCACAGTTCAAAGCTAAGCAGGTTTGAGTTGCAGTGGCCGTGTGTCTCATGGAGTGTGAAAGCACAAGCAAGGAAGGTGGCTCTTGAAGGCTGGCGTGAGCCTCTAGGACCAGGCACTGAGGGAAGAGCAGCCTGTCTCTGCGAAGCCTGAGAAGGTGGAGGGTGCCACCTCTGCCCAGGGCTAGCATGTGGTGTTGGATGAGATGATGATCAGGGCTCCTCTGGGCTTGGTAGGCCCTCACTTTGTGAGGTGGTAACGGTGTCCCCCGGCTGGGTGTGGTGAGAAGGCTGTGTTGGAAAATGTCCCCTCTCCAGGGGAGCAGTGAGCACTTGAGCCAACAGGGAAAGGACCTGTCACCACCGCCAGGCCAGGGTGCGCTGTCCCCTTGGTCACTGTGTGCATCTTGCTCATGGGAGAAGAAAACATTGCAATCTAATCTATCAATACGCCAAGCTCCAACTCTGAGGCAAGTGAAAGATGAAAACAGACGAGGCCTGACCACCAACCCACTGACCCTTGGAGAGATGAGACGTGTATGTTCATGCCTCTGGCTGGCATGCAGCGCTCTGCAATTTCCCGGCACACTTAATGAAGGTAGCACTTGATAACTAACTTAACTGGTGATAGCTCGGCTCCTAGAGACATTTAACGGACACACTAGTGTCGATGACTGGGTACACCCCTCGCCATCCCTCTGGATTTGAGTCCAAATGAGTTGGTCAGTCCTGGTTACACCGGCTGCTCTGGGCTGGAGAAGTATTTGATCTACAGCTACCGGCAGAACAGAAACCAGATAATTTTCACAGAGGACCAACAAATCACTTTTTCTAACAAATTATGAAAGGAGATCTCCTTAGCCACTTTGTCCTCTGGGAGTCTCACCCTGGCCCATGCATTTGCAGAGGTGCCGTTTAGCCCCAAGGAAGTGACTTCAGGGCTCAGGGTGGATTCTGTGCCTCTTTCCTACCCCAAACCTGGGCTTCCCCCGGGCACCTGCTTCTAACACAGGGCTGTGGTGTCCTAACGCCAGCCAGGGACAGGGCTGCGGTGCCCCCTAGCAGAAGTACATGATCTGGTGATGAAGAAGCGCTTCCTAGCATGTGGTTCCCTGAGCAGGGCCCAGGGTGCTCAGTGAAGATGCCCCGAAGCCCATCTTCCTGATGCCAGCAGGCTGTGACTCATAGCAGTGTTGGTGATAAGCACGACTCGCATTTTTCTTCAGTAAAGGAAAGTAACCAGCTTGAATTCTCAAGGTTAACTCTAAATTACTTCACCTTATCTACTCTTATGATGGTTCACTGACTCATGTAAACCATGTTTATTTGAAGTAACCACACCTGGCGTCACACAGCCCCTCTGCAGAATAAGATAATGGAAGTCTTTCACAGGAGTTCAGAAGAGTAGTGTCAGAGTGACGGCCAAGAAAACCAATCATCCCACTTTCTGTCCACGTCTAGATGACTCTCAGAATCGCACCCTTCTTTTGGCAGCTGTTTGAGTCTCTCTCCCAGTGCCGCTCAAGTGCTCACATGTGGGGGTCTCCACTGAAGCCCCAGGATTCTGTGCATGGAAGAAAACAGGAGCTGGGTTCCGAGCCTAGTGATTCTAACTTCTATAGATGGTGTACAGGTTCTCCCTGGGCTGGGAAACACGCTGAGCAGCTGCTGTCGGTGGAATTGAAGCGTTTGTGTCGGAACCATGCATCAGTCGTCCATGACTTCTTTGGAAGGAAAGCCAGTGATACCTTGGCACTGCTCACGGCCGTCCGGAGGTTTCTGTACTGCAGCAGCCTTTGGCCGGTATGTAGGAAAGATGACCACACTTGGGGCCGCTGTAAGCCCAAGGCTGCTGAGCGGCCCCTCCCAGCCAAGCAGGTGGTTGCCAGCAACCGTAGTAACCAGCCAGACAAAACCCTGGGACCCAGGCCTGGGAGGCTCCCTCCAGTAGGAAGACGCACGCCCTCCAGCCTGCACTGCTCCGCGTGCGGCAGGCCGGTCTCCTGGAGGTCACCCAAGTGCAGTGGCCGGGAGAGGCCCACTGGCCCCAGATGGCTTCCTGGGGCCACACGCAGGGCTCCCGTCCTTCCCCAGCCCTGCAGGCCACAGAGGCGCTCAGTGATGGCCAGGAATGAGCCCGTGCCTGGTGTCAGAGCCACTTGGGAAAAATCACTCAGGAAGGAAGCAAGCAGTAGAGGACGGAGACGGGGGCAGCTCGGCTCAGAAGGGCCAGGCAGTCCATTTTCACCCGTTCGTTCATTCTTGTGTGCACCATAAACACAGGGAAGGGGCATCACAGCGAGCTGGGCTTGGGCTTTTAGGAGTTACTTCCAAGACCTGGAAGAAATACCGTTTTTTTTTCCCTCTCAAAAAAGTAACTAGTGTCACCTTCCACACCGTCTTAAGTGGATTTTCTAGTTAACTGCTCAGAAGATCTGTGTCAGCTGACTGCTCGATGTACTCAGTTCGCAGACATTAAGAAATCGGAGTGAGTTTTCAGATGAAGTTCAGGCCGGGCCCGAATATGAAACCTTTATAACAACTAGGTCCTCTGAACATAATACTCCACCCGCTTCAAGTTTAGGAGTAAATGAGGAGGAACTGGAGCGTTTCCAGAGGGCAGTAATGAAAATGATTAAAGGGCCGATGATGAAAGGGTCAAGGAATTGGGATTACTTAGCCTGGAGACGAGAAATCTGAGGGAGATGTAACGGCAGTCTTCGAGTACAGCGTGCGGGTTGTTTGAGCACGGTAGCCAGCTGTTCTCCAGCTGTGCGGGGGCTGGGAGGTGAGACCCATGACAACAGCGCTTCTCAGCTAGCTGTGGGATGGAAGACGGTGGTGGAAGACACCCCGATGTGTGACACTGGCTGTCACACACGAAGGCTTAGGATGAGATGAGTTACAAGGCAGGGTGGAAAGTGGCCACCGGGAGATGGTGGGGCGGAGACCTCCCCTGTGGCCGGGACCCAGGTCTGGGGCGCCAGCCAGCCATGCAGGGACCTGGGGAAGGAAGGCACGGACTGCCAGCCGCTTCGGGGTCTCCCCGACCGAGTCTGTCCTCACCAGGCAGAGGTGCCTGGGGATAGTACGGGAAGGCAGGCGCTGGCCTGGGACTCGCTCTTAGCAACGCCAGGGCACCAGGGACTTCACTCTTAATAAAGGGACATTTCTTTTTAAAAATGTTTTATTACAAAGCTTCTTTTAAAAAATGCTCAGCACGTTAACTCAAACTGGAATGACAAAGGTTAGGTGACGGGGGCAAGGGCTGTGCCTTGCTGTTTAAAAAAAATGGGTACATCAACGCTTAAACAACTGGCATAAAATCCCACTAACTGCCTAATAAAACAGATACAAATACAGAACACTGAAAGGAATAACAATTCAAGTGCTGGGCTTTCTACAACAAGGGAGCGAAAAAGAAATGAAGTCACTGCAAACCAGTCTGAAGTGTGTGAGGTTACCACTGAAAAAAGGAAAAAAACCTCAACCTAAGTGAAACAGGAGTCCCCACCGCTGCCCAGAGTGGCCTCGGCTGGAGGGCACCACAAGGACAGAGGCCACTGTCTGTGACAGGCGATCCCAGAGAAGCCGCTTACCGGGCGAGATCTCAGAAAGAGAAGGCTTCTGTTCAACTTTTTATTTCAAACCTTTCCCGACCTTTGAATTTTATTTAAAAGCTCATAGCTAGCAAAATATACAAGAAAATTAAAACTAAAAAGTGTAAATTTTTTTAAAAATTCAAGTTTAAAAAAAAAAAACAAGCGCACATAAAATGAATCAAAGTTTTGCACTGTTAAATAAAAGCATTAGGAGAAAGGGAGGAACGAGGACAGAAACAGGGTCGCCCCCACAAACTCCTCCGCTGGGGTGTGACCGATGGACAGACGGACAGATGGACGCTGGCTGCGGGCACCAGGTGCTCCGGAAGTGAACCAGACATGGAGGGAAGCTTCCCGGCCGGCCGGCTGCTGGCGTTCTCGCGCGCTCTGTGCCTTCTTTTTTAAAAAACCGTTTGATGCTTTCTGGACCGGGGCTGCTGCAGTAGGGATGGCGGTGATTGTCTCCGCGGAGCTGTGTCTTAGCAGGGACCTGGGGCAGGCTGGCGCCCGCGCTCCGGGCCGCCTGGGGAAACCGTGGAGACGCCTTGGTCTTCAGCAAGCTTCCATCTCCAGCAGAGGTCCCGGGGTCGCTGCCTTGGCTTTGCACGTTGGGAATGAGCTGCGTTTGCCACCTCGGGAAGGAACAAAGGAGAGCATCAGCGCGTCTGCCCGGCCTCCCCCGGGGACTGGTGTGCACAGCGCGCCTCTTCAGGTGTAGGCGCTGCCTGGGCCACTCGCCCAGCGCATGTGCACATACGTGTTAGACGTGGGTCACAGTCAAAAGGAAAACAGCTCCAGGAGGCCAAACAGGAACTGGACACAGGTGGAAGAGGGCCGCTGTGTGGTGTTGGGCGGCTCTGGTCCTCTGTGGGGAGCCAGTTCCCCACTCTGCGCCGCAGTAAACGGCACTGAGCGCCCCACACAGCCCACCTGCACGGCCACCGCCACCCAGCAGCTGCGCTCCGACCCGCCGCTCACACCCCGAGGTGGGAAGCGTCCACTCTCAGAAGAGCTTCTAGTACTCGGGGTTTTCTTCTCCTACCACAGGGAGACCTTGGAAGGGGCCCTCAGCAAGTGACGTGACTGGGGGCGAGAATGGTTTTCAAACAAGAAGCCCCAAACTCAAAAGCCTTAACCATATGAGATCTAAGAAAAATGACTAAAAGTCAAACGCAAGATGCTTAACGAGGTACACCACCCCAGCACCAGGACAAGAAAAGGAGAAGCAAGGACACTGAAAAAGACAAAGGTGCAGGGGCAGAAGGGGTCCACAGTGCTGTCCCTCCCACCCCACGCCCACCTGCAGCCTCCCGTGTCCCCCTCGGCTGGGGTCTGACACTGGGGTGTCCTTGTCACGAGCATAGGTTTCCTCTTAAAAATTAATTCTGGATCACTGCGGGCTGCTCTATGCTTTTATCAGCGAGGAGAGAGGAACCAGAGGAGATTCCGTAATGAACACAGTGTGGGTGGTGAGTTCCGGTCTACAAAGTGCTTCCCCAGGGCACAGAGACCCTCAGCATGGAGCTGTGCCCCTCGCCACGGCTCGATGCAGTGTCCTCACCGGCTTCCGGCCAAGGCTAGCACCTGAGAAAGTGGTGAGGAAACAGCGCACCAAGACACAGAGCCAGCAGATGTAGAGAGCTCGCCGTCAAGAGGCCTTCAGCTCCTGCGACACAGACCTCGCCTGGTTGCACAGGAAGTGTGACGACACAGGGACGGCGGGGCTGGATGCAGGAAGACTGAAGGCCCACGCAGGCCCTGCTCCTCCGAGGGAGGAGCGGGACTCAGTGTGGGCCGGTGCAGAGCCCCTGAGTTCCAAAGGCTGGGTCCAGGTGGCCTTTCCTCTCTGGGGACAGGAGCCTCTGCTTCCTAGTGGAGCGTGACCCCTGGATAGAGGTGGTCTCTGGCGGGAGACCTCCACGCCCATCCCAGGGGAGCCCCCTCTGTGGCCCTGCTGTGACTGCAGCAGGCTGCCCTGGTCTGTGGTCTCCCTGGCCCTGTGCCGCCCTCCCCTTCCCGGGCCGGGTATGCGTGGCGGCAGCCACTCGCCGCGAGCACGGATGTGCCTGCCCACAGGTCTCCGCATGACCCTGCAGGCCCACTCCCCTACAGCCCAGCACTCTTGTGCCCTGATGGCATCACCGTCCCCAGAAGAGCTGGCTTCAGGGGCCACCATGTGGCTGCCCAGCAAAGTGACTTGTTCCGTCCACTGCTCCCTGTCAGCCAGCCGGAGAGCGGCCCAGGAACTCCCTCACTCTCCCAGGAGGCAGCGTGTCCCTGGCTGCTGTTGCAAATAGGTGAGTGGTAAAAACTTTTATCATAGTGAAAGACAGAGCCATCAATACCTTTCTCCCCCCCCCCCCCAACACACTTATCCTGTCATCCTTGCCACTTTCTGAAGCAAAACTAGAAGTGAGGTCTTGATTGCTGCTTTGATGTCCTGAATAGATTCAAAGCTTCCACCTTTCGTGGCCATTTTGGTGCTGGGGAGAAGCCACGAGTCGCATGGTGCCAGATCTGGGGACTGAGGTGGATGAGAACAGTGTCGTGTGTTTACGAGCTGCCTTTGTTGGCCGGCAGCAGCATTCACTGTGGTTTTGATCATGCCTTGTGAAAGCACGGACGAGGACTCCAGAGCTGCTTCCGAGAGTGGCAGGGACAACAGGATAAGTGTATTTGAGCCAAGGGGAGTCCTAGCAGTGTGTCTCGCTGTCATACATGTTTAAAATGCAAACATTCACCGTTAGTCCCATCCCTGCTGGGTGGACCTGTTCTTACCTCCAAACGGGAGAAGCGGGGCTGCCTCTCAGGTATAAACAGGTCAAGTCAAGGTGCTCTGATTTTCTTCAAGAAACCGCAGGCAGGGAGGCCCTGGCATGGAGAAGCCCCTCCAAGGCTGCGGCGACACTGGGCAGCAATCACGGCCCCATGGCCACAGCTCTGTGGCCTGCATCCAAGGGGCTCCCTCTGCCAGGGGCCACCGCGGGCCCTCCGTGACCCAGGAGCCCTGGCTGTCCTGCCCCGAGCCGCAGTACCCAGCGACTGTCCTACCAACCGAGCAGTCAAGGAGCCTGGGCACCCCAGGTGGGCCTGGCATGGGGGTGGTGCCGCCCAAGCAGCCCCGGGGCCTCAGTGGCAACGCGGCGAGGAGAGGGGGCCCCATCACAAAGCAGAAGCGGCCAGGAGGAGCCGGCAGGGAGGAGAGGAGGACAGAGGTCAGGAGGGGCTCCCCAGCCCAGGGACATGGGTGTCATAGCCTCTGATAGCTCGCAGGGCTGTGTTAGCTGGGAGCAGGGGCTCCAGGTGCTGCGGGGCAGCGGCCCAACCTCTAGGACAGAGTGCGGATCAGCTCTGAGGGGTGATGGGTGGGTGCCACCGACAGAGCCATCATCTGTCGTGGGCAGCAGCAGAATGGCCGGTCTCACTGTCCTCAGCAGTGTCCTCAGGGAGCAGTCAGGCAAGGTGACCCCTAGAGGGCAGCACTGGCCTGTCCCCCACGTCCAGGTAGCCTGAGCGTAGGACACTGTGGAGAGGAGGTACGAAAAACGAGTCCCCAATCTCTGATCAGACTTCACGTGAGCAACTTCCTGGGGCCGGCAGGCCAGCACCGCACGTGCTGCCTGTGTGCAGGTTAGGAGTCTCGGCCTGAAGAGGCCGGGCCTCTGGTGACCGCCACCGGAGCACAGGGCAGAGTTCACACCTACACTCTGAGCACACTTGACCCCCAGCCCGGCTGAAGTTCATCTTCTCCCTCCGTCAGGAGACATGGCCTGCACCCTGGGAGAGGGGACTCTCCCCAGAGAGCAGGACAGACAGCTGAATGCACCCAGGCCTCGAACGGACACCTCTGAGATTCCATGGCCGCCTACAGAGCCGCAGCGGCTCCTTGGTGGCACCGGATGGAAAAACAGTTTTGTTTCCGCAGCTGAACGCGTGCTCAGCCTGCAGAGCCCAGCTCCCCAGGGTGTGGGAGGCAGGACGGCCACCAGCCTGACCAGGCTCAGGCTGACTCAGGATGTGACAGCCCCTTCCCAGCGCAGGAGACAGGACCTGCACAGGGGAGCTGCGAAAGCCGTCTGACTGCAAACCACAGCCTCATGGGGACAGGTCGCCTGAGCGGGTGCCCCCAGAGCCTCCATCCTGCACCTCTGCTCTCCCTGGAGAGGTGGAAACTCCACCTTCTACCTGGGCCGCAGCATCAAACACACAGTGTGCTCCGCGCTCTCTCCTTTTCTTTCCAATCTCTTTCCTCTGTGACACCTGCACTTGGGCGTCTGAACCACGGGTCAGGCACACAGAAGGGACAGCTGGTGCAGGGTGACAGCCGAAGTCCTGCGGACGGGCCCTGGGAGGCTGGGTCCTGTGCACCTACCCCAGTCCTCAGAGAACCCCAAGGCCCGTCTTCAGCTGTGAAGGGTACAATAAGCTGCTGTCCCTCACCGAAGGTGGGGAGGGGACAAACATGCGCAGCTCGGCAAGGACATGGTTATGGGAGCCACCGCCGTCGGGCTGGGGCAAGACCGCAGCTAAAGAGGGGCTGTGGACCCAGCCTGCTGAGGAGGTCACAGGGAGGAGGGGCCTGTGGAGAACCAGGGCATCACTCGGGGTCCCCAGTGTCAGCCCCATTTCTGTGGTTCCAACGTCACAGGCCCCTGGCTAGCCTGTCCAGGGACACCCTTGCAGACTACAAAATAATTAAAGCAGCTGTCAGGAAGCAGTGCCCCCTAAAAACACAAGGACAAGTGAGTAAAGCGAGCCCCAAGAGGGGAAGTCACTGAGAACCCACAGGATGGACAGTCAACCTGGACACAGGATGGAGAAGCACGGAGACCTGGGCCAGGGTGGCTGCACTGTCCACAGACACGCTCCTGAGCTCCGGCTGTCACAGGGTGACATCAGGCTGGCAGGCTCCCAGCAGGGCCGCTCCCTCACTGGGTCCTTGGGACGTGCAGGGCGGGACAGGAAGCTAACCACACCCGGGACCCCCAGGGGAGGCTCACAGCCGCCCTCCCATGCATGCACACCGGACAGCCAGGGCACACAGCAAAATGAGGAAAGGTGGTTCTAAAATTCTGCATCGTCCCTGAATATACCCAGCAATGGCTCTAAAAACCCACGTTGACAGGTGGTAAACTTCCGGCATTCTGGGAGACTCCCCATCCTGAGGGCTCTCCGCACAGCCCAAACTGGGCAGGAAGAAAGCATCGAAAGCATCCTATCAAACATAGTTTGTCTAAGACAATTCTTTTTTATGCTATGAGCTATTTAGCGCATCAATCTGAACCCTATTTCGGGGGTGTGAACAACACAAAAACATTGTGCACCTCAAAGCCTTAGCACCTCCTGCTTGCCTCACCTCTCCTGCTACTCTGCTGACGGCACCTAACCCATTGGTTCAGAGTCCCTTCCCCACGCCTGCTCCCCAAGGCGACTTAAATCCAACTTCATCACTAAGCAGAGAAGGGAATGGACGGAGAGAGTCTTAGAAGACAGAGAGGTGTTTCAGAAACTTGAGCCTTTCCAATGGATCATGACCACCAGCTACTGAGGCCAAAGACTGTCCGCTCCTGTGACACCTCTCCCGCTGACACCCCAGACGCTGCTGGCCAGGGAGGGAGCTGACCCGGGCCAG